GAAAAATCCAGGTATATTTGTGTAAATTTTGATAATTTAATTTTGTTGGGAGGTTTTTTTTACTGTACTTTAAGACAAACAATTTAATAAAGCTTGATAGGAAGGAAACCATATTTTAGGGCCAAAAAATAATTAAGATTGATATTTAATTTAATTTTTTATTCTGAATAAGGAGAATACGGTAATGAACTTCTTCTCGAATGAATACGATTTAAATTACTAAGATTGCACAGCTTATTCCGGAGACCCGGGGCGAACCGAACTGTATATCTTAATTATATTTTGGGACAATAAATTTAATTCACTCTTTAATTTTCCCTTAGATTAAATATAAATAGCAAATTAATTTAACAAATATTTATCGCTTATAAATTTATTTATTTTTTTAAGTTTAAATTCATAAGATACCAAATCTCGTGACTAGTCTGTAAATAGCAACTTTGAAATAAACAATGATTTTTATCAAAATGAAACGAATTATTTTTTTTAAAAAAAGAAGTTAATCTAAAAGTAGCGATTCTCCCCTTCAGACCGGTTTTGTTAATATGTATTTTTCGTAAAATATATAAGCATGTCGTTTATCCATCATTATATACTAAAAAATTTATCATTTTGAAGTGGAACGAGTGGCCTATTCGGTGATGATCTATATCACCAATCGCATATATCTGGATTCGAATCCAGGACCTTTCTGAAGCCAAATAGGTGGTTCTGTGTTAAGGGTATGATGTATAGAATATAGAAAGTTACCACCTGATTGCGCCTTTTAATATTAAAAAAATGTTTCTTATTACATTTTAAAATTTGGGTGTTGTTTTTAGCAAAAATTTATGTTTAATATACCTTCAAAATATTGTTCTTTGTTTAACAAAGCATAAATCGAGTAGATTGTGTCAATTTTTCCTCTTCTAACCCTATGTCCAAAATAGTGCGGTTAAACGGCTCTATTTGAGCCCTATTTTAAAAACGGATAGCTCACTATTTTATCCATAGAAAAGTATTACGCAAGCCTAAAGATTTTGCTGCTTATAGATGGCACAATGATTTGGACATCTATTAGAGAAATCTCGAGGCGTAAGCAATATTTTTTTTGTTTAATATTGAATTAACCGTTTTTAAAAACCGTCTCAAATCGAGTCTTGTAATAACACCAGTCCAAGGCTATTTATTTTTAACTCTTACTTTCATCAGGTCTAATCTATTTTTAATGGAGCTAACAAACAACTAAACCCTACATTCACAGTTAGCGCGAATTCGCAGAAAATACAAAAACATAGCATATTTTTATAATTCGCCGCGAAATCGCCTTACAATGAGGGGTAAGACATTTGCTTAAAAATAGATTTACCTAACAAAAAGTTAAAGAAAACTCAAATCTGACATAGCCTGAAACGAATTTATTTTAAACGCAGTTCCTCTTGTCCAATACGATTTTTTTCTTCTTCTTTAACTACATTTTATATGATGTGAAGCAGTCAGCTTAACTATTATCACTGATAATTTAAAAAAAAAAGATCACGATTGCAACTTGTAACTTATTTATCCAAAATAAAACATACATTCGTTCATTAAGAAATTAGTCGATTGATTTAAAATAAAAAGGGTCGTTAGATTACTTGCTACAAAACGATCAAAATTTATTAAAATGCAATAAGACATATCTATTTTTTTATATATATTAACGGAATCACCTGGCCGAGTCCGATACATTTATATATTATCCTTCTTAAGGACTGAACAACCAAGTTGGCTCTAGAAAAAAAAGTATGACCCTTGCTAGATTCGAATCCATAACTATCGAATTGTGATTCACGTACTGAATCGACTAGGCCACAGACGGTATTCTAAAATATCAAATTTATATATATATATATATATAACGATGAAATTACAACGCTATCTAATATTTAAAAAAAATCAATAACGTTTAACGCTATGCATTATTAGTCTAAAATCGTTGATGCTTTGTCTAGCATGTTTTAATTTTTGCTCTATTCAGAAAAACATTTAGGATAATACTTTTTTTTTATAAAGAAAGGAAAGGGAAAAAAGAAAGTTTTTTATTCTAAAATCTTATTCTATTCAGGCACAACTATTTTGAAGTCTAAAAAGAAAGGTTGGGATGACACCTGATGATTTATATAGCAACGAGAAAGTGCTCATTTTTTTAATTATAAAAAGAAAATTTTATTTTCAAGTTCGCGGAAATTTTATTATTAAGCGGAAATTTTATTCGAAATAAGGGTGGAAAAAATCGATAATAAATATTAATAATTAATCATTTAATTTTTAATACATTATAAGATTAATTTAAAAAATAAATTAAAATATTAAAAATGATCATTCCATAAAAATGGAAGTGGAGAACTTACAAGTTTCCAAGAAATAATCATTTGTATTTTTTTGTAAGAGAGTGGTCACTGATTCTCATTTTTGAAGATTTTTTTTTTCAATTTTTTCAAATTTAATTAAATATTCTAAATTTACTAAACAATAATTTTTTAAAATAGCTAACCTATGATTTTAGCTAAAATAAAATACGAAAGCCTGGGGATTTTGCTCATAGATGGCAGAAAGGTTTGGACATCTATTAACGAAATCTCGAGGCTTGCATAATATTTTTTGGTTAAAATATTGATTAGCCGTTTTTAAAAATCGAGCCGTTTAACAACACGAGTAAAGTGGAATTTCAAGTATTCAGGATTAATAAATGAATCAGTTTTATTATACCAAATAAATTGTATAATTGTTTTTTTAAGACGCTACAGTCACGTGATTTATATGAATTTCCTATTCGAAGCCCTATTTAAAAAAAAAAAAATTATAAGTATAATCTATTACTTAACCTTAAACACATGTTATTTAAACATCTTTCCACCAGTAATAACAAAAAAAATCCCTGGTTCTTTTTAGAGCATAATTAATATTCCTTTATTTTGAACGTTATATCGATTTTACAACACTGCTCAACTTTTCAGTTATTATTTTTTTTATATATTTAAACCTAATGTATTAAATTATTATAAAAAGGCTAGGAACCAAAATATGAACCATCTCTGAAAAGACTAAAAAATATTTTTTGCCAATTTTTTAAAATATATTATATAGAAATAAAACCATAAAAAGCAAAAAAAAACAAATAAGTTTTTTTTCAAAAATAAAAATAAATGTGGGAATTTTTTGATGCTTTTTAGCTGGGTAATTTCTCCTTTTTTAGTCAACTAAATTTAGTTTTTGGCAATATTCTATCATCTCTTAGCCTCTGTTTTTTTTGTTTGTTTGAAAATATAACTCAACTTTGGACAAATCCAAAACATAAACTTACGCTTCTATTTATAGTGGATCATCTTCTGTAACTCACCCTGCAGATTTCCGAGTTAACGGAGTTTTTTTTGATGAGATGCAATTAATTATAAAGAATTTATGATATTTTGCCTCTAGTTATATTATTTTTTTTTTTGCCAAAATAGCGTTTTTTTAATTTGATTTTTCCAAAAAAAAATTAATTGGCCTGCTCAAATCTTGTATATATTTTTTTTCGTTTCAAACGTATCTTTCTTTCCTTCTGATTAACGATAATATTATTTTTTTTAACCATGCAATCCATCCAAAAGCTGATATTTACTTTTCTCGCAATAATGTATACCGATGCAATTGCAAAACGCAGATGTCCCAATTGACATTGATATTAACCCAGACTGACACTGGCGATATATTTATTAAAAGTGTGCATACATTAAAGTAGACCGTAGTCAATGCCATGTTAAACGTCTCCTTGAGCCGATTTTTAAAAACGGCCAACTCAATATTTTATCCTTGAAAATATTACGCAAGCCTGAAGATTTTGCTTATGTAAAACATATATTAGCAAATAAAATATTGTGTCAGCCGTTTTCAAAAATGCGAATCGAGCCGTCTTTACTTCAGATACTTGTTTGTTTAATATTAAATATATCCTAAAAAATTTGCTTTAGTTAAACATTCCTTGAGTTGAGAGCGAAATTATAGACATTATTGTTTATGAAAAGTAAATCAGCTTTGGTAGGCCTAGTAATGTTGTTAAAAAGCCCGATTCGGATCGATTTAAAAAAACGGCCTGATTAAGATTATAACTAAAATAATTTTATGTAAACCTAAAGATTTTGCTCATAGCTGGTAGAAATGCTTGGACATCTATTTGTCAAATCTTGATTCTTACATTATATTATTTTAGCTAAAATCTTAATCGGGCCGTTTTGAAAAATCGACAAAATCGGACTTTTTAACAATAATAGGACCGAATATCATAATTAAGCCAGTTTTTTTGAACATCCAATCGTGTAAGAATCGTACAGGGAACCCCATAATGTGATTTAAAAAATCCGAGCCGGGGCTAAAAATAAAATAAATTACAAACCAAGGTTCGACCTAAAAATAATTTTCCTAAACCGAGCTTATATTTATTTATTTTTTCAAAATCTGGGCTTGGTTTAAAATTTTAACCTCTGTTGATGCGAAATTAATCGCTAGGGAGATCGCAGCTGATTCGCCACAGCAGTAATATTTTTTAAAATATACGTAAGCAGCCGACGCGATTTATTTCGTTCCGTATTTATAAATTATATACCTAAATTATTGGCTTCGCGGCAATTTCGCATCGCTTGAGTATATCGCATACACTATAAATAGAGTATTAAGGGTCAAAAATATATAAATTTACAGAAATAGAGTTACACATTTACATTTTTATTTTTGATTTAAGAGACATGTTCAACAAACGTCAAAAATATCTTAGGCATTTTTTTACAAGCATATTAATGTGAGTAGATTTCATGTTATTATAGCCAATTATTTTATCCTTTTTTTTTTGTAAAAACTCAAATTATTATCATTCATAAGAGTTATTTTTAAAAAATAAAATAAATAGAAATTATCAAACATTCTAACTAATTTGTATGGTATAATATACATGTGGTAGATAAAAGCTAATATTATGTTTTAAAATAATTAATTTATTTTAGAATATTTATGGTCAATGAAACTGATAGAAAACTTGCGCTTCTGATTAAGTAGTATATTACTGGTGCACTTTTATTTTAAAAAGATCTCACAAAAATTCGACAATATCCAAACTTTATGAAAATACTCAAAATCAATTAAAATATCCACCAAACAATTATATTATGGATGAATAAAGTTAAAGTGAATGTCAGATACCGAGAAATTAAATGGGTTTTGTAATGTTGGACAACATTTGTATTCACCTATCAGTCCCGCTAAAATACGGAAGGGATTATCCAAAAAGACAGAAAACGAGGACAAAAAGGTTAAAGATGATGATTCTGATAAAACCTCCTCTTCATCCGAGTCGACGATTCCTCCAGCTCCGAACGGGGGTTATGGATGGATCATTGTGCTGGCCTCATTCATGATACACTTCGTAAATGACGGGGTTGGGTTCGCGTTTGGTGTGATATACGTGTCCTTCTTGGACTACTTCCAGGACAGCAGGGGAAAAACGGCTTTCGTAGTGTCTATTTACTATGCCGTGCCTCTTCTGGCCGGACCCATAGCCAGTATTTTGGTGGACACTTACGGATGCCGCAAGATGACGATAGTTGGGGGCCTTATATCATTTGTGGGATTCGGGGCCAGTGTATTTGTAAGACGCATAGAGGCCCTATACGTAACGATGGGACTTGTAACAGGCTTGGGGTTGTCGCTCGTCAACGTAGCCTCAATTGTCGTTGTGGCCTTCTACTTTGACTCTAAACGGGCCTTCGCCACGGGCCTTTCTACCTCGGGATCCGGTATCGGGGCATGCGCCTTAGGAGCGTGCACCGAAATCCTATTACAGAAGTACGGCTGGCGTGGCACCACTCTCCTATTCTCGGGTTTATTTCTCAACATTGTCGTGTTTGGCGCCATGATGAGGCCAGTGGAATGGCCCCGTAATTTGGCTCAAGCTCGCCGTCACCGAAAATACCAAGAAAAGCTTCAAGATTTTCAAGAAATGTCGAAGAACAATCCCGGTACCATGGTGGCACTCTTGACGGGAGACATTATGAACTTGAACGAGTCTTTCGACCACTTGAATGCCAACACAAAAAACGACGATTCTCAGACCACATCCTCTAACCACGAGGACCATCACGAACTAGACGATGATGTCGATAGATACAAGGCCCATTCCGTCCTCGATATACCAACTTATTTAACCAAGAACCCCATTCTAGTCAACGAAACTTACGAAACACTCCATAAGGATTATAATGTTGATAATCTGATTCAATTATTACCCATGGTCAACCCCGATATTTATCATCAAACACTGATTGCCGACCCTACCCACAATCGCCAAGTAATACTCAAAGGAAATCAGAGCCTTTCATTGACACCTAGGCCTAAGCACGATATCTGGCTCGAGCACGTTGATAAAATGCGTAAAGCCGAACGATATAGATTTTTAAGGCTCAATCGATCAAACATCACTAGTCGAGGTTGCATGCTGAATACTCCAAAATACACGATTCGCGCCTCTAGCTGTCCCGACGTCTATACCAGCACGCTAAAAAGAGACAGCGACGATACAACAATTAAACAAGTTCTCAACGAATTAATCGATACTATCAAATCCATGTGTGATTTAACGATGCTCAAGGATATCACCTATTTATTATTTTTCCTATCCAATTTTTTGTTATGCCTCGTTGACGACATTCCCCATCTTTACATCGTGGATAAAGCTATATCCTACGGCATAGACCCCGTTAGCGCGGGCTTTATTTTATCGATAATGGGCTTGGTTAGCACAGTGGGTCAAATTTTTTTCGGTTACCTAGCCGATAAACCTAACTTAAATACCATTTATCTTTACACTGCCGCGACCGCCGGGTGCGGACTCAGTTGTTTTGCTTTCACCTTTTTTACGGATTACGTTGGTTTATGCGCTTTTGCGGCTCTTTACGGGTTTTTGATTAGCGCGAACTACAGCCTCACATCCATAATACTCGTCGATCTCATGGGACTCGAAGAATTTACGTCGAGTTACGGATTGATATTAACGGCTCAGGGAATAGGTAGTCTCACTGGGACACCGATTGGAGGTTGGATCCGCGATATTACGAATTCTTACGATTCCACATTTTACCTAGCAGGAACGTTGATCCTTTTTTCGGGCTTGATAATGTTGATCGAACCGCTTTTCGCAAAATGGAAAAAAAATAAGCGTAAACGAATGATAAACAACAAACTCGAACCTATTCCTATTTTTCCTCTTAAAAAGGACTACAAAACTAATTCTTTACTAGCACTTTAAAAAAAAATACCCGGAATTATTAATCTTTGATAAGAATATTTTTTTTAAAAAATATTTATTTTTTATTTTAATAATTTGTGATATTATTATAAATTAATACAATATTTTTTTAAATATACTAATTATATATATATATATTATACTATATACTCCCTCTACTATATATGTACCAAGCTGCTCTCTGTTTGTATTATTAAATGTGTTTTAATTCTAAAACGAATGTTTAGCCAAAAATGAATAAATGTAATAAATATATTTAATGAAATCGAAATAAATTGAGAAAATATATTTATCCCTGTTTGGCTATATTTTATAGATAGTCATATTGTTTAATTATGTAAGTAAGAAAACTTAATATAATTTGAGTTAAATTGCCTGTGGTTGTTTTAAATATTATAGTATACCTTCTTAATTATTTTTTTAAAAATAATTAATGCTTATGAATAATAAATAATTCATATTTAAGTAAAAAATTATTTTTATCATATATCTTCCAAATACATCACGAATAAATGGTTAAATAAATTGCAAATCTTAATTATTATTTTATATTGTAGGATTATTAATTGATGAAATAAATACTCGCGTTCGTAAAAACCTTTCATGACAGATGCCAAAACATCGAAAATTGAATTAGATGCGCCAAAACACAAGTCAATCTCATATACAAAATTAGATCCAATCAAATCACATTTTAAGTTAACTTCTGATTCCTACGTTAAACCTATCAATAATAATAAAATTAGACATATATGGATCATTTTATTGGCATGTTTCATCAATTTTTTTATCGTCGACGGCATAGGTCATTCCCTCAGTCTATTTTTTGTTACGTTTGGTGATAATTTTCCTGATTCAAAGAGTAAGATATCATGGATAATATCGATACATTATTCGATGACATTATTGTCCGGACCGTTAGCCGGTCTCGTACTAAATTATTTTGGATGCGGGAAGGCGAATATGATCGGTGGCTTTTTGGCATTTTTAGGATTCTTTGTTAGCTCTTTTACAAATCAAATATGGGTACTAATGTTGTTTATGGGTTGTCTGTCGGGATTGGGAGTAGCCATTATCTATGTGTCGTCTTACACGATCATTTTATTTTATTTCACGAATAAGAAAGAATTGGCAACTGGCATATTTTCCTGCGGCTCGGGCATAGGAGCATTGATTTTCGGTCCCTTCGTCCAATATCTCATTAAGCAGTTTGCTTGGCAGGGTTCGCTTTTAATACTCTCAGCAATTTTTTTACAGACATTAGTGTGCGGTTGCCTAATCATTTTATATGATACCATTTTCGATACAAATCTCCTGTACACAGAACCAACACCCGCTCACATCACGAATTCGAATCGAGATAACTCTGATACGAATGATAAAGAAATTGAAAGTCCTATGATTAACCTTCAATCGTCGACGAATAAATCAAAATCTTTGTCTCATTTATCAGATAGTAATTTGAATGACGCGAATCAAGACTTCTATAAATCGCTTCCCTTAATAGCTATTTCCGCGGTGAATTTCGCTCAATCTAAAAGTGATCATGATAACTACTATTCTCAATCAAATCGAAACACGATTACATCCGGTGAAACAACTTTCGATGGAAAAATAATCAAGTTTTTTAGGACTCGCTTAAAATACTTCAAAAATTTGAACTTTTTAATTTTTTTTATATCGAACTTATTACTTTACGCGAGCGGAGATACGCCGTGCTTATTCACAATCGACCGTACTGTCAATCTCAAAATAGCTAAGGATACGGGATTACTTATTTCAGTGATGGGCGTTTCGAATACGATTGGGCACATCTTTTATGGAATTTTGTCACATTACGTTACAAATATACACGGTTCAAAAGGTAATATATACCTTTATAGCTGTTCTATTATTTTTTGTGGTATTGCGACAAGCTTCGTCCCATTCATTAATAGTCTGTATGTAACGTATCTGTATTTGATTACTTTGGGATTTTTCATAAGTTCAAATTATACGCTCACGTCAATCATCACACTTGACATCACTGATTCAAAGTCATTTATTGCGGCATTCGGCCTTATTCTAACTTCTCAAGGGATAGGCGCGTTAATTGGCGCTCCAGTCGGCGGCGCTTTAATTGATTACTACGGGAATTATGACATCGCATTTTACTTAGCTGGAATATTTATTTGTATTTCAGGGATAATCTTGATCTTTGCAAGATTTTTAAAATTCATTAAAAATATGATATAACTTTTTGATTTTAAAAATGAGCTCAATATTTTCTAATTCAAAAAAAACATTAAATTATATTTAACCAAATTTTTAAATTGCAAATATGATATATTTATTAGATTAATTTTTTTTTATAAGATACAAATTTTTAATTTTTTTTAAAAAGCTGGTAAACTGACACAATGTTAATATACCAATATATTTGAAAATTTGCTCATATAAATATAATTTAAAATGATATGTACAATCATTATTTAGAAAACTAAGATGCATAAAATCTTAATTTCTTCTTACTTAATCTTAATTTCTTCACTACTTTTTGGCTGTTTAGCCGATACTTAAACGGCCATAAGCCGACCTAAGATACAGCTGAAGAACTTAAAAAATGAACACTTTCAAAAAGAAGAATGCGTTTACTTTGAAAATTCGTCTAAAATGCAACGCCGTTCACCATGTATTTTTTTCTCGAATTTTATTCACAGACGTGTATAATGTAAACGTGTTTTTAATATATTTATAATGCAATATATTATAATGAAATATAAATAATTGAATTAAGTATATGGAATATTTATAATTTTAAATTACAATTTACTTTTTAAATGCATGAGAATAAGAATTAAGTGGTTCTTAAAAGTCTAATGTTGGCAGACCGGAACGATTTCCCCTAAGGGTCTCTATGGATATTGCTTCTTTGTAAAAAACCTCAAGAGGTAATATCAGAATCCATATGGGATTATAGCTAGGCAGGTGGTTTATATATTTTTGATATTGGATCTTCAATTTTTTTTGAATGCAAGATTTCCTATATTTTTACTCTTAGGTATTGTCCATTGCACAAATTTTTAATTTTTTAATGTCCATTTCTCTACATTTAAAAACAAATTAATAATTATATTTTTTCCGATTGCAGATCTAAACTTCCCTCTAATTTTTAAAAAGTAAATAAATGCGGAACATTCTGATAAACACTATAAAAATTTCAATAAATTATTACATAATTATAAATGTAATATTTATAATGCCTTATTCATAAATATTCGTTTTTCTTTCGTTAATTATAGTTTGCTTCACACAATAATATTGTTCACTAATAATATTATGTAATATTCACTTTTAAGATTGTTATAAACATTTTAAAATAAATAATATAATTTTTGGAAATATAATTTCCTTAGATCTATTAAGTGATATATTACAAAAAACAAAAAATAACGCCGGTTATACATTTTGCCTCTTTTACCAATCTTTGCGCAAAAAATTTTGTATGCAGTTATATTTTGACCAAAATAATTTTATTATGGTAATTTAGTTAGTTTCAAGATAATGATTTTAAAAATTTATTTTGCATAACTAATTTTGATGTTATGGTATTTTCCGTTTTTTTAAATTTCTTACTTTAGTCATTGCTTTAAATGGTCATAATTAAATCTGCTCTTGAACATCTGTCAAAACATAGTCAAACTTTAGAACAATTATTTTTGAATTTTAATTTCAAATGCCCCATGAAGTTCCAATTGAATCAATTATTCATAAGTAAATTCTTGATTTACATGCAGATGGAATAAATAATTCAGCCATATCCGAAAAACTCCATTGATCAGAGAAACAACCAGAGTCAATAAATTAATTGATCCCAACAAATCTACTCGCATTTTCAAAAAATGTCAAAATGTGACAAGAGATAAACGCAGTTTGCGACCAATTTTATTAGAAAATATCGCAGATCAAATCTTGTTATAGGACAAAAAGGACTTTATCTATCTCTATCTCAACAGAATGATGGGTTATAAATTTTATAAAGTGATTTTAATTTTTATATCGTATACTGTACTTTCTAGTTTAATGATAGACAAGAAAAAATCTATTGACATTTAAGCAAAAGGAGAAACGATACTATTTCGCAAAGAAATATAAAGATTAAACCTTTACCGAATGGTCCTAAGTTGTTTTTAGCAATGGGTTTAAGTTTGTATTGAGATTTTAGAGTATTCGCAAAGTGGTACGCAAGTTAAATAAAGAATTTCTCCTGATAAATTAAAAATGTTTGGGAAAATGAGGTATTTAAACACTGCCAGGCATCGATCGAGACAATACTAAAAGGCTCCAGTTCGTTATTAGAGCTAAAATTGCATCTCTAAATTTTGACCCACACTAGTATGTGTTATATCCATGAATCAAAATGATAATTTTATTTATACTATAATTCTTGGCATATTCAACCTTTTTTCGCTTCAAGTTTTTGTTCATTGGCGCAATTATTTGTATATTTAATATTGTAATGAAACCTGCCCTATTTTTGGTTATATATTATAAGTAGTGTTAAAAAACTCAATTTAACCAATTTAATATTAAGATTTTAGTAGTGTGGTTAAATAGTTGGTTTTACCCGACCATGATCTTTGTTAGAAAAAAATGAACCAAAACCACAATAATGGGTCGAACTGGTGGATCAAATTCATAGACCTGAGGAATGATCCGAAGACCTACTTTTTATATTTTATTGTGAATATTTTGCTCAATCATATTTTTAAGCATAGAGGACGAATATGTCAACATTAGCATAGAAATAATTATGCTTAATAATATTAGATTCCATTTTTAAAAAATTGTTCTCATATAATATAAAAATATTAATTTTTACTGTACACTAGCAAATCGAGTTGTGATAACCCAATTTAAAAAAATATAGGATTACTTCTCTTCTCCTTTCTTTCTTTAGTTCCATATTAATTAAATAATTAATATCGAATTCTAAATAATTATCTTCTAAGTTCGGGAAAAATTTATTAAAGGAATTTGTCGATTTTTAGAATTCATATATCATCAAAAAATGAGGGTAATATATGTTTATTTATTAATAATTTTCGGGTTCTGGCCTAAAGTCGTAAAAATTGAATAAGTCTTAAGCCGATTAGATGAGTTGGCTTGAGTTTAATTTTGAGCCGAAATGTATTTATTTGTTATTTTCTAATTTGATAATGGATATTACGACTAAAATTAATTGCATAATCTTAAGACGATATTTAAATCATCTTAATAAAAATTTGTTATGTTATCTTTTGAGTTTTGATATTCATTTTATTTATACAAGATTTTGAATTGAATCCGTTATTAATATTTATGAATAATTATATACAAAGTTATGGGATACTAATTTTGAAATGACATTATCAAAAAAGGTGGGGCAGACATTTTTCGAACTCCTTGATTTAAAAATTATTTTTTAAATCCAAATGCGGATTTCGGGAATAATTATATCTTTTGTTTAAGACTAATAATATAGAGATCTACAGAATGTCAATAATGATAAAATTTCAGCAAATATCGTACTTTTTAACACTAAAGAATTTTTTTTGGATATGATCTATAAAAAAACTTCTATCATTGTAAACGAAATAGAAAATTTAAAAAGTAATTTATTTATACATAAGGTAGGCTTAATTCTACATTCGAATTTCAAAAGTCTTAAGTTTTTAATAAACAAAGAAAAGGATATATATATAAAACAACCTTAAAAATGCGAAATGCTATAGAATTATGATATGCATAAGTCAATGTAAACTATCATTTATAACTTTTCTAATTCATCTTACACATATAAAAATCCGTATATTCTAAATGAAACATTTCGAGAATTTCTAGATGATTCTGATGAAACATCAACCTACCGATGAAAGTTGTGAGGATGAATTTAAAAGATTCATCGCTCATAAAACAAATAATAATGGCAATATTTTGAAGCAGGAAAATTCATTTACTTTTTTGAGAAACTATAGCTAGTAAAATTTTGTCAGCCCCGGCAAGTTTAACTTCTAGTGGAAGGTTATATTCTATAGCCAATCGCCTATTAGAGGAAAGGCGAACACAATTGAAAAAAAAACATGGACATTTCTTTTTCTAAATAAAAATTTTGACTTGTATTTTGTAATTATTTTGTGTTAATTAATATGGACTTAGAGAAATGAAAACTATGATAGAATAAATTCAAAAAATAGCAATAAAGTTTTGAAAAATTTTAAAAAACCGTGAATTTTTGGGCGTGATCAAAATACCCACTTTCGTGTAAAAAATTTTGAGTAGTAAGCATGAAAGGGCTTGATTGTCACGGTGAGTGGAGGGGGGAGGCGTGAATAAAAAATTAGGGCCGCGTCCATCTTTAATATATTTTGGAATTAGATTTTTTATCCTTGAGTCTAAAAATGAGCAGGCAAAATTTGCCATTTTCATCATATATTCATCGCATTTTAGATGCTGCCGTCTTTATTATATCATGATTTAATATATGTTCAATTTACGTGCATAAAATTTATAAATAGGATCCCTGGGCTGGGCTTGGGTTCGCTGGAAATTTTTGCAATAGGGCTTGGGCCTAAATTTTTAAATTCAAATTTAGCTTATTTTAAGGATATTTAATAGGACAAATATAACAAATTATTCTGATTTTATTAGTGTTATTTATCAAATTTCCTATAAACCTTGTATATATTTTTTTAAATCGAAAATTGGTATAATTTTACTTAACTTAACACAACGGCCTGGGCACGAAACAGCGAAAATCAGGGAATATTCCCAAAAATGGCCAACATTTTCGATATGACATAAAATAATTTTATGGGCTTGGGAAATTTTTTAAATATTATAGCGGGCTTGGGAATTTTTTTAAATATTAAAAACGAGCCGGGCCTGGGCTCAAAATTTTTTTTACGATGGGCCTGGGTCGGGCTTGGTACTAAAATCTAGGGCCAATGAAGGTCTCTAGTTTAAATAAGAATAAAATTTTATTATGTTTAAAAGGAGTTAGTCAGATATCCTTTTTTTTCTAAAATATCGACTTGCCCTGGAAATGATGATTATATATCACACTGTAAAATTGAATTATTACTAATTGAATTTCGTATAACATTTTTATTAACAATATTAGTAATATAAATAAATATATATAATTATTTTAAAAAAAAATTTATATACAAAATTATGTATTCTGGTGAAAACCAATATCTATAATTCGATCAGCCAATGTCTGTTGTTCAAGATCTAAGAAATTTGACAAGTCATTATGACTCATATTCAATGATTGCAAATCTTTTTCATCCCAAGCAATCTTTAAAATTTTAATTAATAAAATTTTAGTTTATAATATTGTTTTTATACCACGAATGATTTAAAAATTATGCTAAAAGTTTCAGGCATTTCATGACCAGAAAAGGCATTTTCAGAAGAATAGACATCTTCTAAGATAGAAATTTGTTTGGAGTTTTTTGTTGATGGCTTAAATTATAAATTTTGAAAGACAATTATATAAATAATAGTAAAGATAATGGTTTACCTGTATGATCATGAGCAATAAAATACGTGTTATGCAACACTGTTTTATCAAGAAATTAATGTGAGATATTTTGCCAGGGTCATAATCCCTTATATAATCTATTTTTAAAACAAATAATATTAAGAATTTAAACAGGGCTTCAATCTGAATTCAGTCCATCGGGGTTTTTTTTAAAACCATAACTGAACCCATGATGACCAGCCATTAATCGAACTAATTAGATATATATTAAATTACCTTCGCAAAATTCAATCAAGTCATCAATAACTGTGAATGCGTTGCCGTACTCGTCTATAAAAATATAAAAATTTAAACCGAAAAATGAAAAAATATAAACATTCTTTAAGTTTACAGCTTGTCATACATTGTAACGATAGTATAAACAAGTAAGGTATCTATATGTATTAAAAAAATATGAGACATATATACAATTCAATTTAAATATTAAGTAGGCGTCCAAAATCAAATTTATATTTCTTTAAAAAAAATTGATTATTGAAATTTACGAAATTGAGCTTGGACGCATAATGTTTAAATGCGAGAGAGAATCATTAATTTTTTGTTGAAAATTTTCTTAACTTTGGACGCAACCTAAGAGTGCATAATTAATAATGTATACGTTAGCTAGATATTCGGCGGCTTTTAGATAATAGATCCAAGATTCCGAGTATTTACCAAAACGCTATTTAAAAATTATAAAAAAGATTATATATATTTTTTAAACACAATAATTTTGGAAAATATTTTCTTCGATGATAATTGTCATAGATTTAGATTATATTAAATTTTATCTAATATGGTATGGCAATTAAATATTTTATAAATACCGAATATCAATATTATGGCAATTAATTTATTCGCGGAAAGAGGGACGTGAGATCTAGTGCTGTAAAGTAACGTCAAAAAAGTTTTACGTTTTTGAAGAAATGGAAGGTCATTCGTTACTTTTTCTAAAGGTAACGAGTAACGGTCAGGGACCCGAACCGTTTTTATAAAGGTTCAGTTTGGTATAGTTGAGTATGTGAAAGGTTTTAATGGTTATGGTCCTTAAGAAAAAATTTATAAAGGTTCAATTCGGTTCAGCCAATTGTAAAGGTTTATAATGGTCCATTACGGTTAAAAATTGTTTTTTATTGAAGCAACACCATCGTCTAATTTATTTTTATTATAAACATCTATGAATTATATATAAAAAAAATAGATTCAAAATAACTAATCTTTTAATATATTAACGCATAAGTAATATATTTTCTAATATAAATGGATTCATATTTGTTCGTTGTGACGATAACTCAAATTTTAGCCCCGAAAAGGCACTTTCTACAGAAACTTGTGTTGCGGAACCGCCAGTACTATAAGAGCAAGTTTATATAATTCTGGATATATAAATTTTTCAATTCCTAAAATATAAAATCTGAACCGGTTTGAACTTTTTTATAAGGGTTCTTTTTACTCCTTCAAAAAAAATTATTATATCGGTTCGGTTATGGTTCAGATATTTATAAAGGTTTATAATGGTTTAACGGTTCGTTACGGTTCACTCCGGGTCCCTGGTAACGGTAACGCGTTGCCTTTTATGAGTAACGGTAAGGTAAAACTTTACTTCAAATTTTTCTTATAAAATATAGAAGAAACATATTTTATTGTATTACAAAATTATTTTTATTTATTTTTAAATTTTATAAATAATTTATGCCGAGTTTTTATTCACATCACCACCAAATTCCTTCATTTTAATTTAAAATTTTTATTCAAGATTGGTAATCTAATTGATATTATAATTTGTTTTATAAAGAATATTATATCAATTGCACATCTTCCGATGAAGATGAGTAAAGTCTGCCTTGGCTCCAATATAAAACCCTTTTCACATTAAAGATAACGAAGGGTACTAAGTTTACAAAGTGTAAATTGTGTCTTAATTCAAATATTTTAACCTCAAGTGTGGAATAAACATGGGCATTTGATTAAACTGGTTATAACAAGATGGAACTCGTTCTATAACTCCATGAATTTAATATAGTCTTATTAAGGAAAATAGCCATAAATTTGACGAATTTTGTTATAAATCAAAACTACTGAGATTATGACAAGGTCCATAGATGAATATTGTATGGCGATATATATGATTTTATAGGTTATGGAACCTGTTGGCTCTTTTGATTTTAAAGGAAAAAAAATGCATTTGGGAAATCTCAACAATAACTATTATAATATTTAACAAATGGCTTTAAATAATTTCATTTTGTAAGCCACTTATTAATGCAATTTTGCAAGACAAAGATAAAAGGATAAATGGTAACAGTTGAAGTATTGTTCATAATTTATATTTTGATAATATTCTATTTCAATTGAATATATATTATCAGCAATAATTCATAAAACTAAATGTCAGCGAAGGAATGTAGCTTGAACTTATTTACTATTTGGGAAAGGATCTTGACAAAGAAAAGGCAGACTTTATTCCTTTAACATGTACAGATTATTTTCTAATAAAGATTTTTAAAAATTGGATGAGTATCTAATGAAGATTCTTTTGACGATGAGCTAAGCTTTTTTCAAAATAGAGATTATTCTTTAATTTTTAATTAATTCCCCCAATTAAAATTTTTATTTATCCAATATAATACAACCCTCCCACCCTCTGTGCCAGTTGAACGTGTATTTTATCACAGCAAAAGCTGTGTTGAGCACTTAGCACTCTTGTTTATCTGATCAAAATTTTAAAAATCAATTGTTAAAAATTATTATAAACATATTTTAGCTTTATTTTATTCACAAATTATATTAAAAAAATTATTCTTTTGTATACCCATTATTTTTAGGAATAGAAGATAGTAACGCGCGTTCCTTTTATAAAAGGTAACGAATAACGGTAAGTCGTTTCTTTTTTGAAGTAACGTTTACAGCAATAATGAAATCCCATTCCTTTGTGTTCAGAATTTAATAGAAATATTTTGTTCACTATATAGATGTTTAGATTTTAAAATAAAAAAATTTTCGGCCGAGCCCGTAATATTTTTTACATGGGTTGTTGCCGGGCTAAACTTCAATTTTTTTAATCCCGACCCGTAAAATATTACGCGGGTCGGGCTTCGAAACGCGTAGACATCTGTACTATTTAGGGCTGTGATCCACATATTTTTCACCGATCCGACACCGATAATTATATATTTTTTTTGCATTTAATCTTATTATAATATTTATTTTTTTCTACTATTAAAATCCAATTTTTTTTAAAAAAACAACATATATCATAAATATAATAGATTCAAAAAAAATATGTGTATTAATTAGATTTTACTTGTATGAATATCAAAAATTATAATATTTAAGATTCTTTTTAAAAAATAAAATATTGAGATCCTCTAGATTTTCTTGTAATAAAATTCTAAGATGAGGGAGGACTATATCGTAAAAATTCTCATAAATTTGGTAAAAAAAATTTCCACAACTCAGATGCCATCTTAAGAAAATTTATAATAAAAAAAATGAAATATCCTTTCTTATAAATAATAAAATGGTTATTATTTGTAAAAAAGGTTAAAAACTGTTTCCATCATTATAAAAATAATTTTTTTTGAAATATTAAAACAGAGTTGTTAACGCTCCTTTCCCGCTCCCGCTACTACTTCAAGTAATGGAGCGCCACTCCATAACCGCTCCTTTGATTGAGAAACAAAATCATATTTTTTATCAAAAGGTTTTATTTATATTAAATGATAAAAAACATCCATGCTTCTCCCCTATGTATGACCTGTTTTGCAATACTAAATAAGCGCTCCACAGGAGCACTAGAGGGATGCGGGGTATTGTTTTTATAAAGATATTTTTTAATTCAGTTATAAAAAAGGAGGTTGAACAAGTAATGAGAAAATTAAAATAAATATTAAAATTTTAAAAAAGCATCATATCTAACAACCCAGGTTCAACAATAATGAATTGCCCAACAATAATTATAACCATTTTAAAAAATATTATTCAAAAATAAAAAAAAATATAGTTATCATTTTGTATTTAAAAGAAAGGTTTTTTACTTTTAAATGCTTTTTTAGATTAAAGCTGCTCGCTTTTGAAAATGAAATACTTTTCTTAACCACAAAAGGCATTTTGCCCTTAAATTTGTTTGATCATTTGGATCAACATCTTTTAGAAGTTTAAAATATTTTTTTTCTATGATCTCTAAATCCATAATATCTAAAACTATTTTTTATTATATATCTATGAAATGAATATTAATGACTTACAAAATTTTCCAAAAAATTTTAAATAGAAAAATGAAAAACTTGATGTTTAATATTTTAAATGATTAGATGAAAAACCAATATAAAACTCGGCTCAACATTTATTAATGGATAAATTTAAATAAAATAAAATTTCATTTTTATTGAATTTTAATTAACAAACATTATTAATATTTAAAAAATAAATTAGTTTATACAGCCCTAAAAGGAACTAACTCCCGCTCCCGCTACTCAATTTTTAAAAGGAGGCGCTCCAGGTGTATTTGGAAAAATGTAGCGGCGCTCCAGGAGCGCCGCTCTTTAACAACTCTGTATTATAATAATCATAAAATAACAAAAAACTATAAAGAGATAGAATCGGATAAGTTTTATAAAATTGATGGTTTTATCCAATGACATATAATAATACCTAGACTGATGATTCATTCATTAAAATGCATTTTTAAGCGTCGTTAAAAGCAAATCAGCTAGACCCGCCATTTTGGTAACCTTTATAATAATTATTTCCATGTTAAAAACTACTATTAAATTGATGACTTGTTTCCTTATTATCCTGATGATCAGGCAATTCTTTAATAAAGTTTGCATCAGATATAGGAATAAATTAGGCTCTCGTTTAAAATTTTAATATTAATTACGATAACCAAGATGGCGTCCCTAGCTGATTTGTATTGATGTACACTTTTTTTAATGAATAAATCGTCAGTCTAGGTATTATATGTCATTGGTTCTATCCGATATTTTTCAACAACGTAAACATCAGCTCCGTTCCGATCTTTAATAGGCACAGCCCTAGTACTATTGTAAATATATTTCGAAATTTATATATTATCTTTTTTAAAAAAATACCATTAATATATCTCCAATTTCTAAACAAACATTGCCAGCAGTCACAAAATTCTTTTGATCTACCAAAATCTATTAATAATTGATTTATCTAATTAATAATAGAACAATTAAAATATATCTTTTTTTGTAAAAAAGCTTGATGTGGTATTAAATAAAAATATTTTTAATAAATCATTAATAAGTCTTTCGCTATTTTGTCGTAATGATAAATTATAGAAACAAATTGGCGAAAAATAAAAATTCCAAACGTGAATAAATATAAATATGTCAATATTAATGATCTGATATATTAGTGTATATTGTTTTTTCTATCATATTTTTTTCGAAATATCGCTTAAAATATTTACCGACCAATTTATCATATTTGATGGTATATGTATTTAAATACGATATGCGCAATAGTGGGAGTTTTAGTTAATCTTTATTTTTTTTTTAAATTTAAACTATTTCTTATTATGCATCATATTATCTAATCTTCATCATTGCTTATTAACTATTACTGATTCCTAATACAATGTTTTATGAAAAATAACGCAGGAACAAATTTTAATAAAATAGAAATTAAGTTTCTCAAAGCAAGCAAAAATTTTAAACGCCAAAACAGGAAAAAATTTAAATGCCGCGGCTTAATCTTAGGAGGTACATGCTTGCTGGAATTTTTCCAGTTTCTTTTTAGGTTGAGTTTCTTTAGGTTTAAACATCGAGGCTGAAGTGCTAATTATCAGCCAAAATCGGTTTATCGCTATGCAATCGGGTTATAAATGAAATGAATAGAATTTATATATTTCTTATATAGTATTACTATTATGCTATTTTTAAATAGTTTATATGAAATTTTTAATTACTTTAATTTTACTTTTTAAAATAAATATCGCCATGTCGTTAGACTTATTACTAAAGAGCCGGTTATCGAGCTTCAACTAAACATCTTATAAGTAAAAAAATTTTCAAAAACGGAAAAAACTAAACATAAAAAACGAACATAAACAAATAAACGAGAAAAAAACAATGCTTCCAAACATTTAAAACTAGCCAAATGGGGTGGCTAAACAGCAATAAGTATCAAAAATAAGTTAAACTAGGAAACAACCTAAATGTTTAAGAAAATATGGTTTAAAATACATCTTTAGATTTGGTTATATTTTGAAAATAATTTATTAGCTTCATGCTACATTTGATTATGCTGATTTTACAGCTCCATCTCGAAGCACAAGGAGCCTTAATTGATTATCTCTTAAATCTAAGATTTATGATGGACTATTGATGAGAAAAGGAAATAAATAGCTTGTAAAGGTTGAAAAAGGACTTTAAGGGATAGCTGCACATATTCATTAGCATAAGAATGAGTTCATTTTTGTGCATAATGTATATCAAATATGAAGGGATCTCAGAATCTATTATTTCCTTACCATCAACCTAATGTGCCATCATATGTGATATGCATATTTTCAAGTAACATAATAATACTTTATATTATAAGTCTGCAGCCTTGCCTGGCCTGCTTTGACCTGTTAAGAATTTTTGCACAAGTTGCCCAAACCATTATAATTTTTAAAATATTTTCCCAGCCTGGCTCAAAATATTCTTAAAAAAAGTCAGAACCCCCATGCTCTATTAAAGTTTTACAAAAAGCACACCCAGCAGTTTAATTTTTTGAATGCATTTTCCAAATATCTATAACAAATTTTTCCCCAATGTTAATTAAGGCACTAATCTCTTCTATGGCTATCATTTTTTCAACAATTCTATAAATCGATTGTGTTTATATCTGTATTAGAGGTCTACAATAAGTGGGTTTTAGCCAACAAGCTTGCTCACTTGTTTTTAATTTTTTTTAACCAGCCTGCCCATACATTTATGGTTTTTTTGTAAAATTCATCCACCCACCCAATGTTCAAAAATAATTTGAATGGCTAGTTTGGCTCTTCATTTATTTAATTTAATGTACTTTTAATAAAACTGATAAAATATGCATTATGAAAAAAAAAATGATTTTAAATAGATAGAAGTCTGTCCTGCTCATGTTAACTGAAAAATGTTTAAAATATAAATGACCATTGTCTTAGAAAAATTTCTTAACCAACCCATCACCTACCTAATGTTTAAAATATTTTAAAAAGTCCACATGGAGAATGGATGGGCTAAAAATTACGCAATGCAGATCTCTAATCTGCATTAAGGATGAAATTGGAGCATATCAAGAAATCAATTATACTTAATATTTATATTTTATATTGTGCATTTGTAATTAAATTATCAAAAGAATTTATGTTATTTATAGATTTAGTATTATAGTTAGACAGCTCTTAAAATACAAAGAAAGCATATTGCAAAAATTGACTGAAATAACACGATTTTCCGAAGACCTTTATAAAATGGATAAAACTTGGCATGAAGAAATAGGTTATATTTTTATATAAATCAACATTTTATTGCTCTAGCTCAAAAATATTCTGATTCATGGACCTTCAAAGTTTAATGAGGGCCTTTTCCTTTTTTAACAAATTTCACAAAATTTTTTGGTCTAAAGTATTATATGTCATTTTGTAGCCCTCAAAATTTTCTTAAGAAAATGTAAAAATTATTTTAAAAATATCTTCAGTGTTATAATATTTCTGAAAACAAAAAAATATTACTTTGAGAAGGGCCCTATTTAAAACAATGAACATGAAATGAGTTTATTACTAATATATTTAAATTTTATTTAGTTTTTTATAATTTAAGGGTTGAAAAAATTCTGAATGCCCAAATTGAATTTTTTGTGGGTGTCTGAGCTGAGCATCACCAAGCTCAGTTACATCATTGCATTTATATTATATAGAACAATAATATAAAACAAAGTTAAATCAAGTAATAAACCAAAAAAACTTACTTTTATGGCATGCGAATATGAGTTAATGGATGATGCAATGATCTCATCTTGGTTCAATATTTTTCCCCCATCAACTTGATGCTCTAATTCTTTAATATATTGGCGACCAGACATTATCAATGATTGAACTTCATTACTTGGGACATTACCCATTAAATTTTCACATCTAATCAATTTATCTAATATGCTATATATAATAAAGTATTGCCTTGCTTTTGCTAAATAGGTGTAAGCAGAATAATCATATATTTTTTCCTCATCCAATTTTTTTGCCAATTGTTCAAATTCATGGGATGCTTCTAGAATTTTAGGCTTTTTTAAAAATCTCCTATTAAATATAAGATAAGATTGATAAATAATTATACTTTTTAATTTTATTCTGAATTAGTTGATATTCTTTATAAAAATCAGAATCCTGCATGATAATATTTCTTCATGAATTAATTTAACTCTTTAAAATCCATGGTTCGGTTGTCTGTGGGGTTGGGAATATATCCAGCTGATATTTAGAATAATTTAGTATTACACAAAAAAGATAATGATATTAAGATAGGTTTACTACGACAGCTATCAATTAACATGAAACAATGTCATTACAATAATATTTAAATATCGGTCAATTACAATGTAGTCTACTCGCAATTAGAGGACGGGCGTAAAAAAACTTAAAAACTTTCTTTACCAAAAATAAGAACTGGAACAAAAATGTTAAGACAACTTATAATCGGGGGATGGGGGTTGTTAAAAGGTGCTATTTGTAAAAAAGCGAATAGTTTTATATTACATATCATTTATGGGGGCTTTAACCACAATGCCTCCTGGAGGAGCACAACCTCAAATGGCTGTTTATTAATAATTCATTAAAACAACTTTATTCTCAAGCACGGTTAACTAGTATAGAATATTTTTGTCGTGCATGTTGTCCTCTATTTTGTCTAACACTGTTCGTCAATATAGTTGCCGAGTATTTATCATTTTTAAATATGGTTTATCCCAAGTCAATTAAGGGACAATTACTAATAGGAAATCAAATCCAAACCACCCGGTTTGAAACATGAAAGCCCGACATGCGGACTAGGTTGAAGCAAATCTTCAGACCGGGCTGGACAAATTGCTCAAAATATTTTTAGAGAGCGGGCTGAGCCGATGTTTTGAAAACTTCAGGTGATATTAAGCCATTTATGTCCATTTACTGTATATAAATTTATTACGGGCCGAGCAGGGCTATATAACTTGAAAATATTTTTTGCTGGCGGGCTGAGCTGAGTAGAAATAATCACGAGCCGGTGAGGACCAAAAATTCGATTGAAATTCCCATGGGTCTAAATATTTAGGGTTTCAATGGTAGTGTATTTAATAGGTTAGAGAGTGAAATACTTTTCTAGAGGAGGGGATAAAGTCATCAGTGGCTGAGAAGGGAGGTGCAGAAGCCAGGGAAGTGCAGTATCACAAAATCGAATATATTTTCCCATTCTGATATGAATTCGCTTTCGAAATCTTAAAGTGGCGCAGAACTATTACTCATACCAAAATTTAATATAATATGAAAGAGCTATCACTAAGAATTTTATTTTAAAAACATAATATAAAAGAGAATTAAATATAATAATGAGACAAACTATCCATATATTAAGCAATAACATAAAAAATTCGAATCTTGCAATATTATACAAAATTAACGATACAATAGAAACTATATCTATAAACTACTAGACACTTCGTTTGTTCCTGTCTAGAGATTACGATTGTTGTGGGACTATTAATGGGGTTCAAGAAACCTCTGCGAAAAAAACTAAAATATTTCCTTTCTTTTGATAAAAAGAACTTTCGACCTGGTCTATAAACTCAAGCATGGTAAAATTTTAATATTTTGAGAACATTTTTTCTTTTTAGCTTTCATCTTTTCTGGTGGTAAGCTCCTTCACTTATCTATTATAATATTAATCTTGCTATCTATTTTTATCTTTGTATTTCTGATCGATTTCATTTGTATCGATCACCGGTGTATCATTTTTGAGGCCAAAGTATCTTGAACTCCCACCGGTGTATGAAATCAGTATCGACCAGATATCCTACCTGAGTATTCCCAACACGGAGTTATCAAATCGACAGATATCCCAATCCTGATCTCCTAATATTTGTATTTCTGATCGATTTCATTTGTATCGATCACCGGTGTATCACGAGGCCAAAGTATCTTGATCTCCCCCACCGGGGCATCAAATTAATATCGACCAGATATCCCACCTGAGTATTCCTCACACTGAATTATCAAATCGACAGATATCCCAATCCTGATCTCTCCCACTGGTATTAATATCGATGAATATCCCACCGGAGTATCGTTATCAAGTCCATTGTAACTTGGTAGACAGACATTGAGCTTGAACGGCCCCCGAGGTCACCATCATCCCATCATCCTAGCGCTGGCCAAGAAATCGTTATCATCTGACCTACGAGTTCAGCTAGCCTTCTTTTTTGGTTAACATAAGGACCGATATATATACAACCATTGGCGTACGCAGCGGGGGGAAAGGGGGGGCAGGGGGACAAATCCCCCCCCCCCTCCTTTCCTCCAAGGCCAAAAAATGCAGATGCCGGATATATTTTTCAAAAATATTATTGTTTATATTAATTTATATTTGTTAATATTTATTCGTATCTCATATTAAATATATATTTAATTACATTATCACATTTATCTACTAAGTTATTTTTTCAATTAATTTCGATTTCAAGTTTTCCGGCGTAATATTTACTTATTTTTTAAATTTTTAGTGGCGTAATATTTAGCTACCATTTTCAAATTTCTAGTCAAATAATAATTATTTCTGAAACATCTTGTCCCACAGGGAAAAAGAAATTGCAACCTTGTCCAAGATAGAGTCTCTGCCATCAAGCAGTAACAGCTTTTAAGGAGTTAGAAGAGCCAATTATTTGCTATTACTGAAATATCACAATGGCCTGAAAGAAATATTTCCTCAGAAGCAAGAAAATTATTGGATTCAATTCTTATTCCATATTTTATTTCTCATTATTTTATTATACAACTATTTTATACTTTTCAAAAACATGACATTGACTTGATTAAGAAGATGAGAATAGCGGAGAGCATTTTATCAGAACTCAAGGAAATTAGGGCTAATGTTGATGAAGAATTTCATATTTTATATTTTATTGTTGAGTCAAGAATAGAGCTATACGTGTTTAATATTTGTCTCCCTCGACTTGTAACAAGGCAAGCTCATCGTTAAAACATTAATATAGGATCAGTAGAAGAGTATATCTTAAATACAGATACATTTATAACCCAAATAAATCAATTTTTAATTCATCACAGCACTTATTAATCTGCAAATATTACTTCCACAAAAGCCTTCTCAACCTTTTTCAGATGGTGATAGAAAAAAAAAATTTGTTAGATTTTTATTATAAAGATGTTAAAGTATCTTATGATGCCTTGCTAGCTGAATAACTATGTTTATATGGTTAACTATGGTTGATATAGTCCCAATAAATGCTATGGATGCTCTCCATTATTTCAAATACATTTTAGATTAAATTCCCAATGTATTAAAAGGGTTTATAAACTCTTCCCATTAGCAAACTAATGAGAGAACATTCTCTTTTTAAGAATAATAACAAAGGCCTGCAGAAGTACCATTTGCAGGGCACGGCCCGGATTTTTTTTAAAGATTTTTTACGGCCCGGCCTGGGTGTTTTTTAAAAAATTTTCAGGCCCGGGCAGGCTTTTTTAAAAAAATTTCTTAGGCCCGATTCGGCTTTTTTTAATAAAAGTTCAGGCCCGGCCCGGCTTTTTTAAAAATAAAATTTTCAGGCCCGGCTCGGGTTTTTTAAAAATAAATTATATTTATTTTTGATTTTTATAGCTAATAATAACGATTTCAAATATAGGCTGTTTTAAAAAATACAGCCTGGATTGGGTGTTTTTTAAAAATAATTCAGGCCCGGCCCGGGTATATTTAAAAAAATTAAAATACTGTCCGGCCCGGGAGCCGGGCCTGCAGGTCTCTGAAAAACATACCAAGAAGTACAACATCTGAAAGTAGATTGAAAGGTTTGGATCTTTTGAATATTCATAGGCATTTGACGACAAGCAAGGATGAGATAATTGAAAAATTAGCTCAATCACAACGAAGATTGGATTTTACATTGTAAATATATAACATACAAAATGCAATTATTCCTAAATATATTGTGGGCTCAAAAAATTCAAATTACTATTTTGGATTAATTAAGTGATTCTTTACATATCATTTTTTTATAATTCACATTAATTTAAAATTGTATATTAGAAATAGTTATTAGTCCGAATAAATTTATACTTGATATTTTTAAAAAACAATAATATTTCTTAAAAAATTTTATTATCCCCCCCCCAGACCAAATTCCTGCGTACTCGCCTGTATACAACCCACCAAAGAGGTTGCTCAAACCGAGTAGGTTCGGCCTATTAAAACTCCGTCCATCGTTTCTGTCATCAAAATTTTAGCTAAATAAAGTTTAAAATTCCTGAGCCCTCATTTGGATTCACAACCTTGTTTTAAAAACCTTGTTTTAAAAAAATAATTAAATTTAATAATATTCCACTTTTCTTTTTTTTTATATAAAAAAATCTTTATTAAAATATAATTTTATGAAATCATTTATAAATTTAGTAGACATATATATGGCGTAATCTAAATTATGCTTTGTTCATTTCCTTAGTGTCCATTTTAGTTTTAAAATTGATATCCATCAATTTTTCGTTGGTGTTTTCATAAAATGACATTTGACTTTTTAAATATTCATTTTTTTCGATCGTTTTAAATAGTTGTTCTTCAAATATTTCATGTTCCTTGAATAGAATTTTGATTTGAACTAGAAAGAATGCCATTAATCTTTCATTATCTCTGGAAGAACTCTCTTTAAATATTTTTTCCAAGAGCATCATCATTTTTTCTATAAATGACTTATTCTTACTTTTCTCTTTCGCAAATCCATATTTACTACATATCACATTATCTTTGATGTTGATATTAAAAAAATGATCCTCAATCTTCTCTAAATGATCAAACATCTCAGCTTCTTCTCGAAGGGCCTTATATAGATCATCCTTAGCTAATAAATGTTCTTTAGAAATTTTTTCAAAATTTTCAATGACAACGTCCATATGTTTTTTTAACTTTCTAACTATTTTTGATGCTTGCCACTCCGTTTCTCCGGCATTAAATTTAACGTGTGTTCCGGGGGGTCTAGGGTGGTGACGTCCATATACGCTACTAGGCATTTCTTCATCTTCTTCCAATGTTATAATATAAGATTTACGCCTAATATTCGAAGACATTTGCTATGATTTAATAAAAAAAAAAAATATTCTTTTTAATTAAGGATAATATAAGCATTTCATCAAAATTATGAGCTCATTTATTTAAATTATTACATAATACATATAGAAATTTCTCATATTTTTATCATTACGAAATGTTTTAGAAAAAACATGTTTATATGTTTTGAAATATAGT